GTGTGTGAGTGAGTGTGTGTGAGTGAGTGTGTGTGTGTGTGTCTGTGTGAGTGTGTGTGCGTCTGCTGACGGGACGTTCGTTAGTTCAAACACACAGCACAGAAGAGGGAGAGGGAATCGAGGCGTCCCGGCGGACACTCACCCGTTGTGCGTCACGAGGCACTGGCGCAGGCCGAGCTTGCGGAAGATGTCCACCACGATCTCCATGGGCGTGTGGTCGGTGACGGTGAAGGGGCTCATGTCCAGGATGCTGCGCAGTTTCAGCGGCCGCGGGCTGTCGGCCGGGAGGGTCGGGGCATGCTGGGTAAAATACACCCGCGAGTTCAGCATTATTCCCTCCTGCTTACGTCGGGCGTTTTCTGAAGAGACGAGAAACAAAAGAACATCTTTCAGTCGTTTTAGCAGTCCATTTGTGGACAGAGAAACTCTGATGTGTTTCTCTACAGCAAGATGATAAATTATAATGGGTGAATTTCGTGAAAATATCTCCGGGTGACATTTTACACCATATATAGAAGAGAAAAAAAAACGTATTTCGCAAAAATAAAGATTATTTTCAATTATTTTCATAGCAATTCTTATTTAAAATGTGTATTATGATGGGACAAAGAGAGATTATTTTTTACATTTTAAATTACACCTTTACATAAAGACTCCTATTCAAAAGTTTGGGGTCAGTACATCTTTAATAGTTATTTTATTTTATTTTATCTTTTTATTGGCCATAAAATGTAAAATAAATAAATAAATAAATCTGTAAAATGTTAAAAATACAAATAAATAAAAGAGATTTTTTTCTTTACTTTTTATGGCCATTAAGTAAAAAAATGGTCACAATAATTGTGTTTTTTAACACATTTTGTGGTATTGGTGGTCTATTATGGCTGATATGACTGATGTGGACAACGGTACTTTTTTAAATTAAATTAAATTTTGAAATAAAATAATTTTATTCAGCAAGGATGCATTAAATTGATCAAAAGTGACAGCAAATACATTTATAATGTAAAAAAATACTCCTATTTCAAATAAACTTTCTGTTCATATTAGAATCCTGACTAAAAATATTTCACGGTTCGCACAAAAATATGCAAAATATGTTTTTTTTTATGCACAAAAAAACTGTTTTCAACATTGATATTAATAAATGTTTCTTAAGCAGCAAACCAGCATAACAGAATGATTTCTGAAGATCATGTGACACTGAAGACTGGAGTAATGATGCTGAAAATTCAGCTTTGATCACAAGAATAAATTACATTCTAAAATATATTCACATAGAAAACAGTTATTTTAAATTCTAATAATATTTCTAAATATTACTGTATTTTATCTAGATTTTTAATCAAATAAATGCAGCCTTGGTGAGCAGAAGAGACTTAACATGCATTTAGAAAATTAAATTCATGCCAACTTCAACAGATAAAATTACAGCACTTTTATAATACTTCTTTTCACAATGATCATGATATTTTTGTGTTACAGCAATTTGGCAGAAAATACTGAAAAAGTGTTATTAAAACAGCCTTCATTTACTTCAACATAATTTTCCATGTAGTCAGAAAAGAGCCGTGAGAATCAAGCCGACGGAAACAAAGTTCTCTCACCTATAGCAATGGTTATATCCCTGCGCAGCGCGAAGCCCACCAGTCTCTGCGACTCTTTGGAGACGATGACGGGGAAGCCGTTGCAGCTGGTTTGGGAGATGATGTTCTGCAGCTCGGCGAGCGTCATGTCGTCCTGCGTCAGCACGGCTAGCGGCGGGTCGTTACGCCGCGGACGCATCACTTCCCGCGCCAGCGTGGTGTGCGTGAACTCTTCCTTGGCGTCCAGGAAGGGGTATCCGTTCAGACGGATGTGGGCTTCGTAGATCCCCTCCCTCCCGAAAGCGTCGCCGACCCATTTGCTGGTCATCACCGCCGCCATGAGAGGAACGATGTACTCCAGCCCGCCGGTCAGCTCGAACACGATGACCACCAGAGACACCGTCATGCGCGTCACGCCGCCTACACAAACACCACAGCACACGATATTAGAGTCTGCAGTAGGGATGACCAGGGTGCAAACTACGGGGGAGCTAGAGATGAGAATTACTAAGTCTTCCCGCGATAATAACGATAAAGCCTAGCTGTTGACATATGTGACCCTGGACCATAAAACCAGTCATAAGGGTCCATCTTTTTTTTAAATTGAGATTCCCTGGAATAAAGAAAATCTCGGAGAAAATCTGGAATCTAAGAGAGCAAAAAAAAAAAAAATCGAAATATTGAGAAATTAGCCTTTAAAGTTGTCCAAATTAAGTTCTTAGCAATGCATGTTACTAATCAAAAATTAAGTTTTGATATATTTACGTTAGGAAATTTACAAAATATCTTCATGGAACATGATCTTTACTTAATACCCTAATGATTTTTGGCATAAAAGAAAAATCAATAATTTTGACCCATACAATGTATTGTTGGCTACTGCTACAAATATACCCCAGCGACTTATAATAATAATAATAAGCAGACTTAAGACTTAAGACTGCTTTTGTGCTCCAGGGTCATATATTTCTGTGTGCGACCGTGCGGAGCGTCAGACGTGAAATTGAGGAGTATATCATCACTAAACGAGGAGCTCCTTCTGGAACCGGTTTGTTCAGGGCTGTATAATGAAACAACAAACAATCTGAGCCTTGAATAAATGTACTACAGTAGCATGTGATTCAGTCTGTTTACAAACCTGTTGTCCAACAAAGATGTCATTTATTGACATGCTTTTTCTCCAAATTAACTTCATAACATTAGTCGAGTGTTTGAAATAACTTTGTGATCAGATGTGGTTTCATATCACAGAATGAGTCACAAATCATACTATTTTATAGTATTATATACAGTGATAAAGGCTATGTCGATTAGCATTGCATTATAGATATACTTTATCCTTATGAAAATACCCAAGATTGCTTGAAGAACACATATATCGTCACAATCGTATGTTTATTGTCTTCATGTTTCCTCAGTTAAAATTTCTCTATCTGCGTTTTATTCAGCAATAACTGGATACCTTCTTCCATATTAGGGATTTCCTGGAGCATCATTTGTCAGTGCAATTACTTCTGCGAGGCATATGTGGAGTTTCTGCGCAAGGGCGCCCTCTGGCTTCCAGTATGAATTAAACAGTCATTACATTACATGTGCACCCAGTAATGCTCATTCTGTCACCAATGAGTTTTGGTTCCTCTGGCTTGCTTAGTTGGGGACACTTAATATCAAGCGATATCGTCAACTTGATTGCACAGATAATATTTAAACTGAACTGAGCTGGATGTAAAAATAACTGAATTCAATGATGAACTGCCTTTAACTGAAAATTGAGTACTATTGTCCTTTTGCATTATTGACACACTATTTTCCTATTTGATACTGTAAATCTGCTTTGACACAATCTGTACTGTTAGAAGTGCTATATATACATAAAGGTGACTTGACTAGGGTAAAAATAGGAAAGATAATACTTTTCTCTTAAGAAACAGGATTTTTTTCGTCTCTTAGTGGATGTTATTGTTCTCGCAACAAATACCGGAAATTATCGTGATATATTTTTAAGCCCATATCGCCCATCCCTAGTCCGCAGAGAAAGCTGAAAGCATGCATGCGTACGCACCCAGACAGGCGGCGGCGCCCACCATGGCATAGAGTCCCGGCGTGATGCAGTCGGCGCCCACCTCACACCACTCTCTGAACAGGAACCAGTCGTGATGATAATACGCCAGCTGCTCCACAGCGATTCCCACGATACGCCCCGCGATCGCCCCGATGGCCATACTGGGGATGAACAGACCCGACGGCACCTGACCACAGCAAACACACAAGACCAATCTTCAACACATCACTGGAAACATAACACTGGCACTTTGTTTGGGTAGTATTAATAACAACCACTCAAATTAGCTTTGCAAATTTAGGACAAACTGGGCAAAAAGCCTTCTGAAATTTTCTTTTTTTTTGTAAAGTTTTTTTTTTTTTAAGTGGATACATACAATGTTTAACTATAATTGGTGTGACTTTATGATAATATCTGTTAAAACCACAAATAAAACAAATAAAATAGACACTTAAATCAAAAATTAAACAAATTATGGCAGTAAAAATTAAATAAAAGAAATCTGTAATCTGTTAAAAACACATCATATAAAGCTGGCATTTTTTGACCATTCATTATGACAATAAAATTCAAATAAATAAAAGAAATCTGAAATCTTTTTTTTTTTTTTTTTAAATACGCTTTTTAAATTTTATGGCCATATATGGCTAAATAAATAAATCTGTAAAAAATACAAAAAAAATAAACACTTTTTTTTATTTTACGGCCATAATTTTAAATAAAACAAATAAATAATATACATAAATCTGTAATCTGTAAAAAAAAAAAAAAAAAAAAAATTAACTTGAATGATTTTAGCAAATGGCTGCAATATAACAGAGTGAAAAATTTAAGGGGGTCTGAATACTTTCCGTACCCACTGTATATATATATATATATATAAATAAAAGCACACTTTTTTTAAATTTTACGACCATAAAATTTTAACACATAAAATAAATCAGTAATCTATAAATAAAATGAGACTTTTTCAAATTTAAAGCCATAAAATTTAAGCAAAACAAATCTGTAATGTGTTAAACACACAAAAAGCTAGATACTTTCTTTTTTATAGCTATACATTTTCATGCCCTAAATATACATTTGTTTTGTGTTGTGTGTACTTCAAATAAATAAGTGTTTGATTAGTTTTGGTTTGAAATGATGTGGTATTGAAAATAGTAGGGATGTAACGATTCTTTTTCTCACAATTTTTTTTTTTTTTTAACAAAATGAGATTGAAGACATTCAGTAAATGAGAAGGTGTCCTTTTATTAAGCTATTGCTGCACGTTTCTTTGTGAAATTGAAATATAACTAAACTAAATTGAAATTTTAAAACAAACCCCAAATCAAAGAAGTCACACAAATAAAATAAATCTCTTCGTATAAACAAACTAAGGCGTTGTCTGTGCTCTTTCCATTTAAAATGAGAGGCAACCACTGCTTTTTAATCATCCTCCAAACAAAGATGCAGCGTACGTGCAGCATGAGCAGTTTTTAATCTAAATTAGAGACTGTATAATTTTGAAATTTGAAGCAAAAACAGAATGGTCTGACTTTAGTTTTGTGAAACTATACATAAAACACATCTGAAGGAAACCGCAGACGAGCTGAACGAGACGCAGATTCACTCGCTGCCAGAAGGTGGCGCTTATGAACAGCAATGATACAGTGTTTCCTGGGTTACCGCCGTAAACAAAGCAGTGCGCTTATGAACACTACTTTAATTTGCATCGATCAGAGGCAAGATGAACAGAAAATTCCACGTAAACTTTTCTAAAGGCAGTCAGTTCCCCTCAAGAGATACATTCATATAAACTCCAGTTGTATCGCGATTTGTTTAGCATCTCAACCGATTTGAATCGATTTTCAACCGGCTCGCGGTTCATCATTACATCCCTAGAAAATAGGCAAGGCAAGGCAAGTTTATTTATATAGCACATTTCATACACAACGGTAATTCAAAGTGCTTTACATAAAAGAAAAGAAAATAATAATAAAAAAATAATAACAACAAAAAAACAAGGAATTTAAAAACTTTGAAAATGATTAAAAAATTTATTTAAAAGGTTTAAAATGAATTTAAAACAGTTAAAAATAGGAAAT